GCTTTGACCATATTTTCATTGAAACTAATGTTTCGATAGGAGCCATTGCTGAATTTCTGCCTTTCTTGTGGAGATTGTGGGAATTTTTTCTAGTTTTCTAGTGTGGTATGCAGCATTATCAAGTACAATAACGGCATTAACGTCAAGCTTTGGGAGCGTTTCTTCAACCATCGTTCAAATGAACTCCCGTCCATTTCTGCATGGTAGTCGGTCGTTTTCTTTGACTCAAATGCACAGTGGGCACACAGCCATCTTCACTGCCAATGAGACAGATAACAAATCGTTTTCCTTTTACGGGAAATAATTATTTCACATAGTATTCAAGAAAACTAATAATAATACAAGTATCTAATAGGTGTTGGTTCCAAATCTACCAGATATAGATATGTTTAGTGTAGCTAAGCTTTCAGCGTGAGTACATACGAGTAGATTCAGTCTACTTGAAACCTTTTTACAACACAAATGCCGAATTGGTTAGATACACGTACCTGACGGAATCTTTAGGCCAGTGGTTAGTCTATCTAAGAAGGCTTGTCTTGCTGATTTAATTGTAGAATCAGTCCATACTTTAGGTTTTGTATGTCCTGCTTTTATCCAGGTTTCATCCAAGTACGAGTAATAAATCTTTCTGCTCTGGTCGCTGTATTACTTTATTGATTTTAAATAATCTCTTCTCCATAAAATAATCTCTTGGCTGTCCGTCAAAATATTATTTCCGCCCCGTTTTCTATGCTCAAAATGAAGTTCTTTGAGTAACTACAGAATGTGGTCCTTTTGAAAGTAATTAAGTCATCACTATTAACCTCCTGTAATACTTTGTCTACTCGTAAGCAGGGAAGTTCCTGCCTTTTGAAAAATTGATGGACTTTGCGTGTGATGACATTCCAACCAATCCAAAAGCTTCGTGTATTGCAGCCTCTTGTGCGGTGGAGACATCTTTTTTGTTTTTTATATTCTTTAATAATGTCGAAAATTGTGTTAGGACATAAGCATGTTTTGATCGCCACACGACTCTCAATATCATGCATTTTTATTTCAGGATGATCTAAAATTTCGCCCTTATAAACATTAAGAATAATTTATTTTGCCTGAATATTCAAATGGCCCTTCGTTTCGGGGAGGAGGAATCACTGGAGAGGAAGCATGGCTGAAGGAAGCATTGGGAGTAGTAATCTCAGTTTTATGTGCTGTATCCGTAGACGACATGCTAACGTATAAATACACGCTATTTATATGTTACGGGTAAAGTTAGAATGATGATTAAACTTAGGTTAGGATTAAACTGCACAATACCCAGACAACATGGGTAAAGTCCAAAATATTACTGAAATTGTAAATGTTTCGGACTTGACCCGGGTAAACCGCGTTCTATCCACTTTCGTGTGGTTAATGTTAAAAAGAACGCCATATCTACATGTTTTAAAAACACATTTTATTGAAAGAACAGATTTTAAAAATCAAAGGTTACACTGAAACTGTATCCTAACAAAGTACAAGATACTATAATCTATTTAAAATAATAATAATAATAATAGACGTCTTTATTTATCCACAATTACATTGTATGTACAATGTCAGACTTATATGCCGAAGTTTAGCATGCTGCTACTCTTACACTTAACCATATAGTCTCTAGCAGATGTTCAAAAGAATACACTATCCACAAACAGATTTGGTTCATTACATCGGAAGTAAAATTTAAAAAAAGAGAAAAAGGCATACTTTCCAAACCCAAATGCACCAAAAAATTATTAATCTGAATTAAAGATGGAATAAAAAAAAATGAATGAACGATTACGTAAATTATATGTTTGAAAGGTTGAGTAATAATGTTTTAACTTTTTGTCGAAAGACAGGTAATGCAAATTCTTTATATACTTTAGGAAGGTCATTATAAATAATAGCAACATTGTAAGAAAAACTGCGTTTAAAAAGTGTAGACGTATGCAGGGGTATACTAATATTATTTTCTCTGAGAGTTCTAAAGGCGAACATCATTATTAAATGAAATTTTTTCCTTCAAGTAATAAGGTTTAGACGTGAGCAGCAATTTGTGAACAAAAACTGAATAGTGATACTTGACCATGTCATTAATTTTGAACCAGTTTAGAACGGGATTTTTCGCTGATACATGATCAAATTTACGTAAGCCAAAAATGAATCGTATACAATTGTTTTGAATAACTTGATTAACGTTTTTAGTGAAATTGTCTAAACAAGTATAGTATACGATATTACAATAATTTAGTATAGATATGACCAATGCTTCACGTAGTTTTTTACGCAACTTAAAATTTAGTAAATACCTGTTTGCTATAAGAGTGCGCAGCCGTAGGTAGGTTTTCTGAGATAGACTTTTAACATGTTCAATAAACCTTAATTTTTAGATTTTTTTTGTGGATTAAGAAGTAGATTGTGATCTAAAGAGTATTTAATTAATTTATTAACATCGTTTTGTAAAATTTGAGTAGTATTATTGACATTATCTGGGTTAAAATAATGAAGCAATTGCGTATCGTCTGCAAATGACTGGACATGAGAATTATCAATACTTTTGCTTAAGTCGAACGTATATATGAGGAACAGAAGTGGCTCCAATACAGAGCCTTGAGGTACGCCTGAGGGAATTATTGTCACTTGAGACATTTCTTGGTTGAGAAAAACACACTGAGTTCTTTGATGAAGGTAACTGTCGAAAAATGAAAAGGATACACTGTCAAGACCTATCTAATTTAATTTAGCAAGTAATAATTTATGATTGATGCTGTCAAAGGCTTTCGAATAGTCTATAGAGATTAAGGCTAGTGCCATTTTCTTATCTAAGGCATTTAAAATATTGTCTTGCAGATTAAGTAGGGCAGATGTTGTACTATAATTTTTTCTAAAACCGGATTGAGTGTCGAGAAGTATAAAGAATTTTTCTAGGTAAGCGGTCAATTGGAACTTTATAATTTTTTCTAAAATTTTGGATAAAATTGGTAAAAAACTGATAGGTCTGAGATCATTATACTCAGTGGGTTTCATTTTTTTAGGAATTGGAATAATTAGAGCTTGTTTCCATGTGTTTGAAAAGTAGCCTTTTTCCAAACAGTCGTTAAAGGTGTGGACGATGTGATGGAGAATAACTGGCAGGTAAAGCTGGATCATATTTGTTTAAACAAGATAAGTTGTTATGACATTTTGTGTTAAAAAGATTTCCAATAGCCTTACATTTACACTTATTGGTCACGCATTTAGTTTTACAGTTGCATCGTTTGTAACCTTGACCTCCTAAAAGAGATTGTTGGTTTGCAAGTTGTCGTAAACTTTTCTTCTCCAGTGATACACTTTCCATATCTACAAGTTTCTCATTACACACAGAAAATTGGTTCCTGGAAAACATCTCCTCGATAGTTCCTCTCTTGTTTGCTAGCTTATAAAACTCGTCGTAAATTTTTTCGATTACTGTCATGAGAATATTTCTAAAATCACCCCTAACTCTATCAACGTCTGGAATTTTCACTCTCACTGTATCTCCAACAGAACATGGCGGAAACTTTGAATTAGACAAAGCTTTCATTTTCTTTGCTTGATTTTCTAAATTTCGTTTTGCCTCTAGTCTGTTTGACCGTATGTTGTGTTGGTACAAACAAAGTTCACAACATATATTCCCTGATGTACTTGGTTTGTCACACTCTGAACATTTTCCCTGATTATCTGAAGTTTCCATATTACCAGCGTTTTCTCTATAATTATTGTTGATATTTTTCACATTTCCATCTTCAGTAATATTTTCTTGCATGTTATCTGTTTCTGGGTTACTGTCCATAGATTGGTCGTCATTTTGTTCTTCTTGAAGCTCTTCACCTACACCAAATTCCTCCACAACCTTCTCGAGCTCTTCTTCGGTTCGTAGATTTTCAATAGCTTCTTTTGGAAACGCTGATGTGGATAGGCCGACTTTAGTATCATGCCCAAACATGGCAGCATAAGGAGCTTGTTTTATCCCGTCATGGTATGCCCTATTTTTTATTAACTGGACAAATCTTACACCTTCTGACCATCGCCTGCATTTTTCATCATCCATCCACGTCATAAGCATATTTTGTATATCTTGATTTGCTCTTTCCGCTGCCTTGTGACTGACTATGACGTGGTTTGCCGTGGACTATTTTAAGGCCACTCCACATTGTACATAACTCTTCAATGACACGGCTGGCGAATTCACGGCCGTTGTCCGATTGTAGTATGGATGGGGCGCCGAAAATACAAAATATGTCTATCAGGCTCTTAGCTACTTCCTCAGCCTTTTTCGATGTTACTGCACGTATTTGGACAAACTTAATTAAATGGTCCTGATACACCATGATAAATTTATATTCTCTCTTGGCAGATTTAAGTTTCTTTTGACACCCTTCACGCAAGCGCAGTTATAACTTAATAACATCTTGAGTTATATTCTTGTACTTTTTCTTACATTCACTTTCCATACGATGTTTTCCACCATGTCCTATAGCTAAATGTGCATCGTGCAAAACATTTCGTCGTTTGGAACATAATATTTTATGCTAGATTCACCTGATGATACACGAGCAATAAGCTTTTCGACGCCTCTCACAGAACATATGTCTACCTCTTTAACCGTCGATATTGTAGAATACGAGCCCCTTCCCACTTGGCCCAACTATTGAAATCTTAGTTTTTTTCTTATAAAACACAAATAATAAAAATGTAGCAGGGTGTTATAGGTTTAAAATATTAACAATGAATATTTTGATAATATATAGTACAAAACACCAATTTTATCACTCCCCAATCAAATTTGCAGCATAAAAATAACACATGTTGCAATTACGGCATATCAACCTATTTTCATTTCAATGCAAAATAAGTCTATAACGTATAGGTGGCTGTGAAAAATAAAAGCCATGACAATTGTTTTTATTAATCACAGCTGTCAGAACACGTTTAAAATAGTTTTGGGTAGTTAAGGTTTTCAAAATGGGTAGAGGAAAGGTTATTAGTGAGAAAATTCGGTTACTGATAATTAAATTTTGTTAACTAACTTTGTTAGACTTACGCGGTACAGTGTGAGAAATATTGTTAGAAGATATAACGTAACTGAGTCAGTTAATATTAAGCCACGATATGTGAAGAAAAGTAATATCACAAATGCCGACCGAAGAGCATTAAGAAGAATAATCGTGAAAAACAGGCGTGCCAATTATTTACAATTAAGTGTAGTTCTTACTGATGCACTAGGGATTTCGTTGACAGCTTGTAAAATGTTTCTGTCGCGATTTTCAGTTTCAATATTTTAACCCCTTGTAGGTTTATTAAATTAACTACTATTTTTCTAAATTGGGATATGAGGCTGCCGCCGTTCGGGGTACATCTCCAAGTACCCTGCTGAGGTAATGCCGGCGTTTCTGTGTGACTGCAAGTACAGCGCTAACCTGTCAAACTTTTCTTCATTTGAGTACGGAATACCGGCCATTTTCAACAGGTTTTGCAATTTTTTTTGTCAGATTTATGATTCTAATGAGATACTACTACTTACTAAAACGCAATTTTGATACTTCGAATGTCAAAGTCAGAGCCTCCTTAGATGAAAAAATGCGTTACTTAATTTTATTTTTTGACAAATACAGGGTGTCCGCAAAGTTGGGGTTTTCCTTTTCAGAAACAACGACCCTTGAAATAACAAAGGTAATGTGTAGTGGAACGAGGGCGACCAAGTAAAAAAAATAAAGAAAAAGTACTCACTCTCCAGTTGACGAGAAGGGCTTAGTACGTCTCTGTCCGAAATCATCCCGCTCCAACAGAAAATGAAATCAGCTGATGCGCTACCGAGCAGACGCCGGCGGTGGTGCAGACCAGTAGACCACGAACAGAGGTAACAAATATGACCATCGTGCAGAAACCACATTGATTGTCTTACACTTAATGGCACATCTTCTAACAAGGAAGGCAAAATGTTGCGTAAAAAGTCTAGGTATTGCATCCCGTCCAATCGATTTGGGAGAATAAATGGTCCAATGAGCATACCGTTCACCATGCAAGCCCAAACATTCACCGAAAATGTTTGTTGAAAATGTGCCCGACGGACAGCATGCGGATTTTCTACTGACCAAACATGAGTGTTGCGAAAGTTATTCACCCCATTACGCGTGAACGTAGATTCGTCTGTCACCAATATGCACTTCAAAAAGTCCGGATTATTGTCATGTTGATGCAACAACCACTCACAAAACCGCACTCTTGCTGGAAAATCGTCAGGTTGAAGGGCTTGTACACGTTGGACGTGAAACGGATACAGCCCCTCTTCACGCAGCGTTTGCCATGCTTTAGTTTTTGATACTTGCACTTCTCTAGCCACGTCTCTAGTGCTTGTTGTTTTTTGAAACGCAATCGATTATACGGGTTCGTTTACCTCTACACGAATGACCGTAACCGTCGGTTGAAGGTTGCATACTGACCTGACACACTGACCCCGACCCCCGACCCAGTTCTGTCGTCGGGTTGAGCTAGTGTCCTAGTACCAGTCGGTGATGTCGCGAGACGCGGCTACAGGACGGTATTCAGATCTTTTTGATGTTGCAGAGCCCTTTATCTCGGTTCCCTTAAGACATTGGTGTATACTGTACTAAGAAAAATTGCTTATGTTTTCAAGATCTACACGTCGTGTAAAGGAAAACCCCAACTTTGCGGACACCCTGTATATCAAGTACATAACATTACGTGTAATGATATTTAGATGATACTCCAATCTTTTATGCACTTGCGAGACCTCACTAGGCTGGAAATTTTACACCCTTTTCAAAAAATCCAATGTGGCGGCCACAAGAAAAATGAAAGTTGAGGTAGATTGCGGAAAAAAAAGACGATTGAGACATGTCATACATGCTACCTTATTTACCTAAAAAAATGTCCGAATAATGTCGCATTTTGACAGCTGTCAAATTAACCGTTTCGGATTTACTGACAAAAAACAAAAATCGACATTTTCGCCGATATTTCCAAAACCAACTGACCAACCGTAAATCTAAAGCCGGCTATCGAATGCACTAAGTTCCTTCTAAGACTTCCATTTAACCTTTGCTGTAGGCATAACAGGAGCCGAGATCCTGGACAGAGAAGAGAATATGGGACATACTGTATAAGGTGAACAAACAAAACCATATCAGTACGCGTCAAGGTCACATTCAAACATTTGTAATTAGTAGTCATTTGATTACGACACTCGGAATAATATACGTTATCTCACTTAAAATAAGGATTTGTGAATGTAGATAGGAATTAAAGATTAGGGCAAATGGGTGAGCACACTCAAGTATCATAAAATTCAGAAAAATATTTCTTTAGATACTACTAAAACGGGTAAGAGAAAAACCTGGCAAATATTTTCAAGGTTATGAAATGGCTGCTAGGGGGCGTAATTGCAACCCTGAGTATAAGAAAGAGATATTTCTGAGAATTCCGCTATACTAACCTAACAAAAAAATACCTGATCTTTAAATTCTAGGACAATCTGAACCTTTTTTGTTCTACATTTTTTGCTGTATATAAAATAAAGTGGTGGGGGGTAGAAAACACCCTGTATCTTCGAAACGCCTGAGCCGATTGCAACAAACTTGGACTAGTTGAGAAGAGCTATTCTTGGACTACAAATGTTATAATATTTGAAGTTTTGTTAGTTTCACATGTGACCGCTAGAGGACTTCTTTTTTCGAGATTCCGACAAATGGTTTTTCTCTCAAAAAAATTAAACGCATTGGTATTTTTTATTATGAAAAAGTGGCTAAGTTATGTCTAAACAAGCTCGCGAACCACGTCCCGATATCTTACTCCTCACCTAAATGTAGGCAAAACAAAATTTTATACGGAAACTCCTATATTTTTATTTTTTGAAACTATTTTTAAAAAGCACGGATAAAGACAAAAGAAATGGTGATTGCAACAAAAAAGCGGTCATGGGAGGAATTCGGGAATCAGATGGAGCAAGATAGTAAAGGCAATCAAAAACTCTTTTATCGGGTAATAAAAAACCTAAGAAACCCTAGGCAGACATGCCCAAATCATCAGTTGCTGCTGTGATATTCATCCCGACCACTGCATCCCCACGGCTAGGCGACCTGTATGTTAAATTGGTATTGAAAGGGCAGAGGGTTATGCTATAAATCATATGTGTGTTTGTGCACTGATTGCAACGGTTAGATGACACCAAAAATATTTTCATAAATAGTAGGTCTTTCCCATTCCGGATCGAACAATCTACCAAAGATGCTTATAATCATGATACCTAGTAAATTTTCACGAAAAAAATTCAAAACCAGCAAATGTAAAAGATTCCTTTCGCACCCTCCACCACGGGACGTGATCGTTGTTAGACTTGGCAACCCTGCGAGTGTCAGATAGATATCCCCACCAGTCAAAAAAGAAAAATAGACAAACAATAAACATTACTAGTTTTTTTGATTTTTGGACTTAAAAGCCATGATCTGTGAAACATTTTTCATAATTTTTTGTCTATGTCCATAGTAATTGCATTATGCATCAGGGAGATTGACACATCTTACACATATTATCTGTGTATTAGGATGGAGAGGACATAATGTTTTTATTGCTTTGAAAAATTCATTAACCCATAAATTAATAAACGATTACTATTATGACGTAAAGGAAGATGAGGAATTGGATGGAATGTATACTAAGTGACATATAAATCCGAACACCCAGTTTAAATGGTTTTATTTTAATAAAAGTTGGTGAATGTATTTATCTTACTGTAAATAACAAGTGAAAAAATTTCAGCCTTATCAGTTGGAC